AAGTTTTGTTTGTGATAGTTACTATGGGAAAAAATTCATCATGCTTGCTAAATGGGTACGGAGTCTCTGTTTGGGGTGATGAAAAATTTTGGAAATAGATGGTGATTGTGAATGTAATTAATGAACTTGAGTTACACTTAAAAATGGTTAAAATGGCAAAAAAAGAAAAAAAAGAAAAACCAAAACCAAAGTATCAGCATTCCGTAACCCCAAAAAACTAGGGGGAAGGATCTACTTTAGACAGAGTGGTCAAGGGGTACACGACTGAGATCTGAAAGTAAGAGCTGCCATGGCCAAGAGACAGGGGACAAGCCCACTGCCCACACCACGGTACCATTTAAGGACAAAGCCCCACAGCAGCGGCAAGCTGGGTGTGGTTGAGGAGCAGGCAGAAAGCCGGTGTGGCAGGCTCACCGTGATGGTGGCAGTAGGGCAGGGGCAGCAGTGGGAGCTGATGCAGGGGCCTGATGCAGGGACCTGTAGCCTTGATAAAGAGTTTGTGTTTTCTTTGGATGGGAAGTCATTGGAGGTTTTAAAGAGGGCATCCAATTGGAATTTTGAAAAGGCCCTTGTGGCTCCTCTGTGGAGAATAAACCCTAGGAGGGCCCAAGTGGCCACAGGGAGTCCATCGAGGAGACTGGGGAAGCCATGTGGTCATGAGTGAGAGTGGCTTGCACCTGAGCAGTGGCTGTGGGAAGGAAGGAAAAGAACAGATCCGAGTTACTGGACCCAGGGCTGCTGACTCATGCTCACCCAGGTTGGAGGGCCTGATGTATAAATCTGTCGATTCATTTTAATGAGTGGCACAGCAGCAGGCCAAGTGGATGTTGCCTCGGCTGGGCTAGGACACCCAGATGGAAAGCCACAGTGTGTGAAGGCTGCTTAGTGCCGCTGGAGGGCGAGCCAGCAGGTGGTTGCAACGTTGAAGAGTATCAGTTGCTGACAGCCTGTAGGGCTGGCCCCAGACCCACTCACCAAGTGAGCATCCTGGGCCTCACCCGGCCCCTTTCCTCCAGACAGGGCTGGCATGGGCACCGTCAACATTGACTTCCCTGGCTGACCTCTCCCTTTGCTAATTCCATGCATTCTGGTTTTCATATTTAGTGTCACCAGCCAGGCCTTGCTGGCCTCTGTGTCTTAGAACATGTGTTTCTCCATCTGTTCTGGGTGGGACTTCTGAACTCCTGGTCCTCAGACCACTCCCTACTGTGGCTTCCCAATGCTTGTAATTATAGACCCTCTCAGGTCATTTTATTGGGTGCAAATTGTGCTAAGTGCTCTTGATGTTATTTTCCTGAATCTCCATCTCCACCCTGAGAGGGTGGGAAGTGTATCTCTGTTTCCTAGACAAGGCCACCTAGATTCAGAGAAGTGAAGTCACCTGCTTAAGGTCACAGAGCGAGCTAGTGGTGGAGCCAGACTTTGGGTCTGGGTCTGCTTGACCTAGGTCTGCCCTGCCCTGCTTCCCTGCAGCGGGTCCATGAGATGACTTTGAAGCCCTGACCCTGGCCTGGCCTGAAGCAACACGTAGTGATGGGAGCCTTGTCTGTCCCAGCAGAGTCACACTTCTGACCCCAGCAAGGCCGCCTGCACCACCCCAGCTCCTTCACTTCTCCCGACTCCAACCTGTTCTTCCTGCCAGGCTGCTTTAAGCTCACCTTTATAGGCTTCTTGTTCTGAGGAGTCAGGATGTCAAGGCCACCCGTCTATCCCCTGCACAGCACTACCTGTTCCCATCTCTGGGCGTGTGCTCACATGGTGACTCAGCCAAATGCCCTCCCTGCCATCTCCCATCTAAATTTTCCTTTTCTTCAAAACCCGACTCCACCTCACCCTCCATTCCCTACCCTATAAGCCCTTCTTTGAGAACCCCAGGCCATGTTTGCTATCACCAGATCTCCAGCATCTTCTGGGGGCTGAAACAAACACTAGCAAATCAAGTCACATCGTGCCTTGATTCCAAGGTGAGCATCCTCCCATGCAACAGTGAGTGCTGAGGAACCGGCACATGCCCCCAGGGTCCCCGTGGTGCTCGGCCAGCCTGGCTGCCCAGTGGGCTCCATTAGCCTATGCTGACCTGGGCCCAGGCAGAACTGTGCCCACCTGACTGGCTGTAGCAGAAGCCGCGGCCAGGTTCTTGGCTTGTTTCCTGTGGCCTAGTGAGAGAACCATGCCGTCATCCCTGGACTTGTAAAATAAAGACTGATCTCATCATAGGTTTTTTTTCAATGTTATTTTTCTTTCTAATTAGTAAAATTTTTTTAAAGTTTAAGCAGTTTATCTCTGTCATACCAAGCCATGTGCATTGAAAAAAATTATTTTTTAACCTCTAATGCTTTTAAATCAAGAAATGTCCAAGTGTAGTAGGAAAATTGAGAACTATTAAGCAGAAAGAAAAGATAATAATCATCTGTACTCTTGCTCTCTAGAAACAACTGAAGTTAACATTTGCTGAATTTTCTGTATCTGTGTAAATACAGGGTATCCCAAAAATGTATGCACACTTTGAAAGCTGATAGCTCAGTTTTGAAAATGAAATGTATTTTGCTGTAGCCGCTTTCTCAGTGGTTAGAGCATCGGCCTGTGGACTGAAGGTCCTGAGCTTGATTCTGGCCAAGGGCACGTACCTGGGTTGCAAGCTCGATCCCCAGCCCTGGCCGGGGCGCTTGTGGGAGGCAGCCAGTCGATGTGTCTCTCTCATATGGATGTTTCTCTCTCTACCCCTTCCACTCTCTCTGAAAGCAATGGAAAAAATATCCTCTGGTGAGGATTAAAAAAATAAGAAATATATTTTAATAAACATTGCCTTTATAATTATTCAAAGTATGTGTATACATTTTTTGAGATACCCTAGATATTAATCAAAATCTGTACAAACTGTTGTGTATCTTGCTTTTTCATTCACATATTTTCCATCATCTTTGGAAACTCTCTAGAGTGGATGAGCCATCATTTATTTAACCAGCCTCTGGCCATGGGGCTCATGGGTGGCTTCTGCCACCTCCTTAGACCTGAGTGCTTTTCCCTTCGAGAAGATTTTGTTGAGGTTCGCTTGAAGCAGCTGGGCCTGGGGAGTCAGGAGGCCAGGTGGGGAGGAGAATGGGTGGGAGGGACTAGGGAAAACCTGTCTGAGGAAATGACTGCCACTCAAGTCTCTTTTGCTCTCTGGGTATCATCTGTAAAAGAAGAGGAGATTGAATTATCCTAAAAGACTTCCAGCTCCTCTCATCTGTGGTTCTGCCAGCACCAGGTCTTCACTGCCAGCAGGCTCTGCTAAAGACCCGGGCAGCAGAAGATGGGGTATTTATCTAAGATCGGTCTCCTGGCTGTTCGCAAGAAGACCAGGCCTGGGGGAGGTTCGGAGAGTGTGGGCTGAGACCAGACTGAAGCAGAGCGGCGGCGCTGATGCGCCAGGGCCTCTGGGCTGCCCGGGCCCAAGAGGGTCATGTGGATTCTGCTCCTTACAGCAAAAACATACAGATTAGTNCTCTGCTAAAGACCGGGGCAGCAGAAGATGGGGTATTTATCTAAGATCGGTCTCCTGGCTGTTCGCAAGAAGACCAGGCCTGGGGGAGGTTCGGAGAGTGTGGGCTGAGACCAGACTGAAGCAGAGCGGCGGCGCTGATGCGCCAGGGCCTCTGGGCTGCCCGGGCCCAAGAGGGTCATGTGGATTCTGCTCCTTACAGCAAAAACATACAGATTAGTTTGCGGATTCTTTTGTTGTTTATTTTAAGCAAAATTAAGAAGGCATTTATTTTAAGGGTTCTTTCCTATAGGCCTTATCTAGCATAATGGCCGACATCCTCCAGCGCAGGCGAAGGAGATCCCGAGCCAGGCAGGCACGGCTCAGTTTGGGCGGTGAGCTCCCCTGGAGCAGCTCTTGTTGCTTTGTGTCCTGGCACAGTCAAGCAGTTGGCATCACCCAATCGACAGAGAGCCTTTATTTTACTATGAATTTAAGTGACCCCGTAAAGCCCAGGGTAATGACGTGAGTGGGAGGCATGTCTGGGGGGGATGAGGTGGTGTGGACCAAGGCCTTCCCTTCCTTCTCATCTCCCTCTTAATAGCAGCGTCAGTAACAACACACCCTCTCATCTGTGCTGTGAGCTCCGGCTTACAAAGCTTTTCACTCATCCACTTGGCGGGGTTTGAGGATACTTGGGATCTGTCCGGGGCCCCAGAGCTCTCTTGTGGCCTAGTGGGGCTCTCAGGGGCCCTTTCTGTCCAGTGCCCTTTGGTTTGGGCCGGGCTGGTGCCCTACTGGAATACAGGGAGAGAAACTGAAAAACAGAAAGGAGATGTGAGGCAGGGCTATGTGCCCCCAGAGGTAGTTGCAATGTTGAAGGGTAGATCCAGCATCTGTCTGTCTGTCTGCCCATCAGGGGCCTCCCATGGTGGATGGTGTCAGGGAGGGACTTGCCAGGTCTGGTCTTGAACCTTCTCATTTATGTCCCAGCACGGAGTTGGCACCTGGTGTCACATAAGCGACAGGTGGGTTTGGAGGAAGACTCTACACTCAGGGGTGAGGGTTCCTGCCCATATCTCTGTTCCCTGGTTTTAGTTCCAAACTTTTCTTTGGGGATCCACTGATTGGGGTCAGAATGGGGACTTTCCCTCTCTTAAAACACCCAACTTGTGCCCTAGCCAGTTTTGCTCAGTGGTTAGAGCGTCGGCTGGCAGACTGAAGGGTCCCTGTTTTGATTCCAGCCAAGGGCACATATCTGGGTTGCAGGCATGATCCCAGCCCTGGTTGGTGCGTGAGCAGGAGGCAACCAATCGATGTGTCTCTCACATCGATGTTTCTATCTTTCTCTCCCCCTTCCACTCTCTTTGAAAAGCATTGGAAAAAATATCCTTGGGTGAGGGTTAAAAAAAAAATTATATCCAACTTGTGAGTTTAAAAAAATGTGTATTTAAAATTATATAAGTAATTCCGAAGTGTATAAAGTAAGAAATAAAGTCCTCCCTCTTATCCTACCCCATGGAACCCTCTCATTTTCCTTTACCCACTTCTGAATTATTAACCTCTCAACAGTTTGCTGAGTGTCCTTTCAGATCTTTTACTACATGTGCACAGACGCAATAATGTACTGCTGAGGCTATTGTTTTGTTTTTTAAATATAAAGGGGGACCATGCCATTCTCTCCTTTTCTGTCTTTGCAGTGTACTTACTCCACAGAATAGCTGGGCAATAGGTCCTTGATTCTCTGACATCTCATTTCTTCCTTCAAGGGGAAAATGATAAGAATAGCTAACATATATAATTTATACAATAGATAATTTCTCTAAGTCCCTTGCTTTTTTGGATGAGTCCTAGAGAGGTAGAGTGACTGCCCCATTTGTGGCCAACCTGGGGCCTGAGCCCAGTTTCCCTGAGTCTTACATGAGCAGGGCTATGCATTTGTTAAGAGTGCCTTCCTAGGAGTCTTACCCTTTAGATCCATCCTGACAGCATCCCTGTGAAGTCAGTGGGGCAGGAAGTATTGACAAGGCTTGGGGCATGAAGAGCCTTGCCCCCAGTCAGTGCTGGGAGGGCCTGGAGCCCAGCGCTCTTTTGGTTGAATTTACTCTATCCAGCCTTTATTGAGGGGTTACTGTGTGCCAGCAACCTAGTGGGGCGTTCAGGGCCTGCTGTTGTTGGACAGACAGCCTGGCCGAGGCCCTGCCTGGAGGTGGCCAGGCTCTCCCTTGTGCTCTGGGCAGAGTGGGGCTCCCTAGGGAGACTCACACCGTCCCTAGCAAGGGCCCACACTCCAGACCTGGGACAAGAGATCGGAGTCCCTGAGGAGCTGTATGGACGCGCGGTTGGGAGGGAGGAATCTGTGACCTCAGTTACCCCCACTAACCCCTCACTTCTCATGACTCTCTCCCCACTCCTACTTCCTGTCTCTCCCTCCCTCCCTCCTTCCTTCTCTATGTGGCTCTTTGTCCATTTGTCTCCATCTGTCTCTCTCTGCATGTGGTTCCTGCCCCTCTCGCTCTGTTCTGTCACACCATGGCTGCCCCTTCCTGGTCACATGTTCTTCATGCCAATGCAGGCGTGCTGGTCACCATGACAACAGAGACAGGCCCCGATTCTGAGGTGAAGAAGGCTCAGGAAGAGGCCCCGCAGCAGCCTGAGGCTGCCGCTGCCGCTGTGACCACCCCAGTGACCCCAGCAGGCCACGGCCACCCGGAGGCCAACTCCAATGAAAAGCATCCGCCCCAGCAGGACACTCGGCCTGCTGAACAGGTGTGTGTCCGAGAGCATGGGCATCCCTTTTCCTGCCCAGCCCATCCTCTGGGGCAGGGCCTTAGGAGGGTGGAGAGGAGGAAAGGAAGATTTATTACTGACCCGTTACATGCCGAGCACAGTGCTGGGGGCATTGTGTTCGTATTTATGTTTAATTCTCCCAGACCTAAGAGAGTAGCTATTAATTTCCCCATTTTACACTTGGGGAAACTGAGGCTCAGCAGGATGAAGTGAGTTACCCAGAGTCACATTGCTATAAAGTGACAGATGGAAGTCGAATCTAGATCTGATGTTGAAAACGCATGTTCTTTCAACTTTATTTCCCTACCCCCTGATCCTGTCCACTCTAGCCTGGCAAGCCCGGTGTGGCCCCAGAGCAAAATATATCACCCTGAAGCTGCAAGGGACTCAAGGAATCACCTAGTCATTGACTTCACTCCTTCCTTATGTCACAACAGGCCCAGATAGGGCAAGGACTTGGCCAAGGTCATCGAGGGTGTGAGCGGTAGAGTTAGGACTAGAGGGCAGGGCTCAGACTTCCCTTCCCTCCGTTAAATTAGTCCACAAGTCCCCAGCCTCATGCTAGACCCAGTGACAGGCCAAGAAGGAGAAGACCAGATGGATATCCTGATAACTCATGCACTATTCTAGGGAGACAGGACAGCTCTGGCTGCCGGGTTTGGTTTTGTGGGATACTCCTGCCTACAGGGGCTGCCCACAGCAGCAGGAGCCTGCGGGAAAGTAGTGGACCTTCATGGGAGCTACCCTATTGCGCACGGAATCCCTGGCTCTCCTCCTGCACCTACCCACCATAGACCCTGGTCACCCCGGGGGCCTTGGACCTCTCATTTTGGGGTCTACCTTAGCCACAGCTGCTTCCTTGTTGCATCTCATTTGGGTGAAAGGCTATGATTTTAAGCCCATTGACGAAACTTTTCTCTGGGTTGGACCTGCAGAGCCTAGACATGGAGGAGAAGGACAACGGGGAGGCGGACGGCCTGTCAGAGAGGACCACGCCCAGCAAGGCCCAGAAGTCGCCCCAGAAGATCGCCAAGAAATACAAGAGTGCCATCTGCCGAGTCACCCTGCTCGATGCCTCTGAGTATGAATGCGAGGTGGAGGTAGGGACCACCAATGCCACATGTCCCATCCCCAGCCAGCTGGCCTCAGAGCCAGGGCAGGCTTCTGTGTGCACTCAGCCAGGGCAAAGCCAGAGGGGATCTATTCTTCATGGAGTCCTGGACTGATGGCAGCGTCCCAGAGAGATGACCTGGCCAGGCCTTTGCACAGATGGTGGCAACAGGGCCCGGAGAGGGCTGTTTTAATTGCAAATAGAGTTAGACGAGGCACCAGGCTGGCACCAGGAAAAGGTTTCTCAGGGTGGCTATACTGTGGCAAGGAGCCACCATCTAAGGGCTGATCTGCAGCCCAGTCTCTTCAGTGTGACCCAGCAGACACTGATGTTTCGACTGGAATCATTTTTATGTATTTTTTGGGTGGAGAGAGTTATCCTCTGTTGTGAACCCCTCTGTCCAGGGCACTACCTCTAGTTTCTAGGACAAACTGATCATTTGAGGGTTCCATGGTAAGGGTGTCCCCCAGGCATAGGGAGGCAGCCCATTGGAAGGATACACTCACCCAGGCCGTGTAGAAACCCTGTGGCATGGTCCTGTCCCACACTGGGTGATGGGGCAGATACCTTCTCTCTGGGGTCAGCCTTCTGGCCTCACATTTAGCCACTCTCTTTTCCTAGATAGGCTCAGAATCCTGCCCGAATTCTGAACTCTCGCCCCTTTGGAGGTTCTTTCCTGGTGTAGGCACCATTCTGGCCCTCTGCATGCATACGGAAGAGTCCAGAGGGTGGCCTTACTGCTGAGAGTTGCCGGAGCCACCTCCCTTTTTCCCCCATGCCCTGGTCTCAAGGGACATGACTTACTTCTGAGCCCTGGGAGGCTGGCTCCCTCTTTTTTGCAGGGTTGGGTTTTTGTTTTGTTTCTTAAATATTTATTTCTTCTATAGAAGGGTTTCAGAATAAACACCTGGCCTACTTCTGGGAAAAATAAAGGCATATCTTATATCTCTTCTCCCTTACCCACAATGGGCCTGGAAGGGTGTAGGGAGTTTGGCTGAGGCCAGCCCACTCTCTTTGAAGCACTCCTCCAGACTCAGGAATTTCTTGGCTTCCTGAAGCTGCTGTCCATAGTCAGGCCTGGTCTCAGTCCCCGTGAGCTAGCCAGACCTGATAGGGACCTCACCCTCTCTGTGGAGGCCCCTGCCTCTGAGTAGTGACTGCTTCTCATTCCCCCTACCCTGTGATCCCTTTATTGGTGCCCATACTCACCCCTGTGGGTTTGGGGTACCCAGCCAGGTTCTGGGATTTGTCCTTGTGATACCTCAGGCGGATGGTGTTCAGAGAGGTACCAAGCCTGGTTGTATGGGGGTGGGGCAGAAAGGTGGCTTTACCAGGGCTGCTTTAGCTGAGGCTAGTTTAGGCCCCATGAGCCCCTATAAAGCCTCACTTGCTGCCCGGGTAAGGGTGGCACTCCAGGCTGGGGTGCCCTGGATTTCACTCAGACTTAGTGTAAGGGAAGGGCTGGGGAGGGTGAGTCACACTGGGACCCTGAGTCCTGGGCCCTCCCCTTCCCCACTGTCTACGTCCCTCCTGTTTCAGGCAGCTCTGCTCTTCTCACACCCAAAGCTTAGACTTTTCATTTTCTGCTCCTTGGTTCCAAGTCAGCCTCCTTCTCTTAGTCACTGTAAAGGAAGGAGAAATCAGTTACCCACCACTGCCCTGACTCTGCCCCCCGTTCCTCGAGCAGGTCTGAGGTCTAGGAGGGCTTGGAAGAAGGCAGTTGATGACCTGGGCATTAGGTTCAGAGTCAGGTGGGTCGCAGGAGTGCTGGCATCTCTCCAGATGCTAGAAGGCTTTTGGGGGTTTTCAGGTTGTCCTGGTGGAGTCAGGGGTGTCCCCCTGCCCCACCCTGAGGTGTGTTCTGGCCTCACAGAAGCTTTGCTCTCTTTTTCAGAAACATGGCCGGGGCCAGGTGCTGTTTGACCTGGTCTGTGAGCACCTCAACCTCCTGGAGAAGGACTACTTTGGCCTGACCTTCTGTGACGCTGATAGCCAGAAGGTACCTGGGCTGGGGGCGGGGCTAGTGGGGGGCCTACCATGGGGGAGACTTCTTCTTTTAGGCCCCCAGTCCTGGTGGCATCCCATGGCTTCCATCAGTCCTCAGATCTTCTGTTTGCGCATCCCCAGGGTTCAGCTATCCCATATCATCCTCTGTTCTCTGTGTCCACTCCATCCCCCGGTCCTTTCTGGGGACCTGAATGTCACCCCAGATGGATGTCTAGAGAGCTATCCATGGCTTCCTGGGGGAACTAAGCACTTCCCCCCACCCTTGCGAGGTTCTGGTCTAAGTTTCCTCCTTCCCACCAGTTTCACCGCAGCTGTATTACCTGTTCACTATGCTGCCTAAGGGCGATGTCAGTCCCAGGGCCGAGTCCCAAGCTTTGTGGTGAATCCAGGCCTCATTTCCTTACCTCCCAGGCCCAAGGAAAAGGGCCCAGGAAGCTCAGCCAGGGAAGGGTGTTCCCCACCAGGGTCTGTCAGTGGGGCCATTTCAGGATGTTCTCTCCCAGGCTGTCTGGGTCTTCTCTTTCTTCCCTCTAAAGAACCCTGTCTTCTCTTGCAGAACTGGCTGGATCCCTCCAAGGAAATCAAGAAGCAGATCCGGAGTGAGTGGCCTGCTGTGGTGGGGAGTGTGGTGGAAAGGTTGCAGGGGCCCCAGGTTGCGGGGCCACAGTGTGACTGCTCTGTCCTACTTGGGGAAGTATATTCGGACCCTTGAGTTCATTTGCTCCACATGGAAGATCTTGGGGAAGGCAGGGCATGGTTTCATAGATGAGGAGCCTGAGGCCTGGACAAGAGAAGAGAAATGACTATCTAAAGTAGTGATTTTCAACCTTTTTCATCTCGTGGCACTCATAAACTAATTACTAAAATTCTGTGGCACACCAAAAAAATACATATTTTTGCCAATCTGACAAAAAAATAGGTATAATTTTGGTTATTTTTAATTTTTCCATTGATTTTTAGAGAGGAAGGTAGAGGGAGTGAGAGACAGAAACATCAGTCGGCTGCCTCCTGCATGCCCTCTGCCAGGGATCAAGCCTGCAACCCAAGTATGTGCCCTGACTGGGAATCGAACCAGCAACCTTTAGGTGTACAGGACGACGCCCAACCAACTGAGCCACACCAGCCAGGGCTCAGTTTGGTTAAATAAGTGTAATTTCGGTTAATTCACATCAGGTGGCTAGTCTTATGTTGGCTGTTGTCAATTTTTTTTTAATCCTCACTTGAGGATATGTTTATTGATTTTAGAGAGATGAAGGGAGAGAGAGAGAGAGAGAGAGACCAGTTGCCTCCCTTACACACCTGGACCAGGGATCGAACCCACAACCTAGGTATGTGCCCTTACCTGGAACCAAACCTGTAACCTTTTGGTGTAACGGATGACGCTCCAACCAACTGCGCCACCCAGCCAGGGTGGCTGTTGTCATTTTTAAATTTTACAATCTAAGGGAAAAGAGGTCAGTGCCCCTGACTAAATAGTCAGGTATTTTAAAAATTCCTTTGGCACAGCAGTGTGCCTGCCGTGGCACAGCGGTTGAAAATCGCTGGTCTAGAGTCACACAGCTGGTTAGCAGAGGGCTCACAGACACCTTCAGATGTCAGCACTGGAAGGGACCTGCAGAGTCATCTAGGACAAGGGGCAAACGGATGGCCTGAAAACACCCACCCTCCCCTCCAGGGCCGGTGAAGGCTTCAGTGACCTGTGACCCTTGACTCAGCTCAGAATCCTTGCCCACACAGCACTCCAGACCACTGCCAACTGACAGAAGTTATGTCACAAGAAAGCAAGGTCCATCCCTGATCTTGGCCATCTCCTGTATTTAACAGTGGGTGACTAAGGCCCAGAGAGAGGCAGTTACTTACCCAAGATCACAGAGCAAGCTATTGGCTGAGCCAGGTCTTGAGCCCTGGCCTCCCAACACCATCCTGCTCTTTTCAAGGTCTGGGGCAAAGACAGATCACCGGGCTGACAACCTGTGCTTTATGTTGGGAGGGGTGGGGCAGCCTTCAAATGGCAGAAGGGGAGGCCCCTCAGCCAGGGGCCTGGAGTAGGCGGAGACCTGGAGCCTAGATGACCCTCCCCCTGGCTTGGACTCTCTGGTCCCTGGGCTACAAGGCTCTAGCAAGCCTGTTGCCATGACAGCAGGCAGCTGGGCCCAGGGATACCAGCTGACTCTGTGGGGAGGGGGCTTGAGGAATTCTTCCTGTAGGCTCCTGTCAGTCGGAGACAAAGAGGGAGGCACACAGGCAGAGCATGCTCCTCTGGAGCCGACCAGGTCCCAGACCTGGGCTTCAGGCTGTCCCCAGGAGCACCAGGAGGCCTGGCTCTCTTGCCTGAGAGAATCAGAACACATACCATGTGCAGTGGCTGAGGAGGACCCAAAGCTTGGAAAAGAGAAGCAGCTGACCATTGTGGAGCCTCACTCAGCTCCTTCCCCAGGGCAGGGAGTCAGGGCCCTCATGTCATCGGAGCAGTGCTGCCTCCTTGTGTAGAGCCCAGTCTCTGTTCCCACCGTGTAACTTCCACCCATTCATTCCAGTTCTGTATCCTGGGCCCCATGGAGCAATTTTTTATCCCCTTTCATTCTTTGAGACAGCCCCTCCCCCAACCCCTCTGAAGGTGGCACAAGTGCTTGTGTCTTGGGCTTCAGAGTAGGGTAATTTCCTCCCAAATTTCTGTGCCCATCACCTAGGGCACTGGGAGCAATTCCCGCACCCTTTGGGCTCCTGCTGCTCCTTGGCAAGGGGACTCCTGCCTCACACGGTGGGAGTGACAGTTAAATGACGTGTGTGGACAGTACCTGGCACCTCATGGGGCTTCTCTGAGGCAGTGTGGTGTGGTGGGTAAAAGGAGAGAGTGAGGCTAGACTGCCTGGATTTGACTTCTGACTCCATCACTACTACTTGTGTTAATTGTTCTGTGTCTCAGTTTCCTCATCTGTAAAGTGGGAATAACGGTAGTCCCTACCTTTAGGGTTGTTGTGAGGATTAAATGAGTTATTAGGTACACTACACCTAAGACGGTACCTGCACAAGTAGCACCCAGTATGTATTAGTTATTGTGTTGTTGTTGTTGTTATTATTTCTGAGACAGGGATTGTTTCCCCTTGAGTCTTCTTTATTTATTTTAAAGAATGTTTTTATTGATTTTTAGAGAGAGAGGAAGGGAGAAGGGGGGGAGGGAGAGAGAGAGAAACATGGATGTGTGAGAAACATTGATTGGTTGCCTCCTGCACGCACCCCGACCGGGGATCGAGCCCACAACCTGGGCATATGCCCTGACTGGGAATCGAACCGGTGACCTTTCAGTGCCTGGACAGTGCCCAACCAACTGAGCCACACTGGCCAGGGCTCCCCATGAGGCTTCTTTTTCCAAGGAGTCAGCTGTGGTCAGGAGCCTGGGTTCTGGGGTCAGATGCCTTGAGATTAGGCCCCTATTCTCTACTGCGGACTAGCTGAGTGACCCTGGGAGAGCGACTTAACCTCTCCAGATCTTCATCTATAGGAAGGAAAGTCAACCTCAGGATCATTATGAAGATTAAATTCCTATACATGCCTGTAATATCCTTAGCAAACCAAGTGACCAGTGCTTAGTAAGTGCTGGAGACATGACAGCCATGTGGTGAAGATGTCGATGACCACGGGGACGAGGGTGGTGGTGACGGCATGGCCTCCAGCCTGGCATGACCACTGCCCTGTCTCACTTTCTCACTTAGTCAGGGGACTTTTTAGGGCATGGGGCCCAAAATGTCCCAGGGGTGGTCTACCCATTTTTCTGGATTACAGCCTTTCATCAATACCTCCTCTCTCCCTGCCTCCCTCCCACCGCCACCAGCCGCTCTCCCTTTCCTAAGTGGCTATCCCTTCTCTTGGCTTACAGAGCTAGTTTCCAGCTAAAACCTCAGCCTTTATTTCTGTCTGCCTTTTGTAGATGTACCATTAATTTTTCATACCTAAATGTGGAGGTTAACATTTATCCCTGTGAAATGACCTTTGTTACTTTTAGCCCATCATATTTGCCTTTTAGGCCTTGTTTATAATCCAATTCTGTCATCTGAGATAGAGTTAAAGTGAGATAGGGCAGAGTTTTCCACAGTGTGTTTCAGGGAACATTAATCTGCCTTATAAAAAATGGATACAGCAGGTCAAATAAGTTTTGGGAACTCTTGAATGCTTGTCTCCTAGAGAGGTACAATTTATAATGGCGGATTGAAGGCTCTGAGAAGTCTAAAGTTAGAAAACCTGTTTAATATGGTGCTTTTTAGACTTCTTTTCTTCCCATTAATGTCCTGTCACATAGACTTTGCTGAAGAGAAAGGGACACGAGCTCTGGAGCCCGGTGGCCCTGGTCTGAAACCCAGCATTGCCACTTCCTAGGGGAGTGACCTTGGGCTGTCCTTTACTGCCTGGGCCTCAGTGTCGTCATCTGCAAATGGGAATAATCGTAGGATTGACTATAGGGTTGTTGCAGGATTTAATGAAGCGATGTTTGTAAAATAATGGTGTGCCTGGTGTGCACCATTGGTGTTCTTTCTTTCTACCTTCCTTCCTGCTGCTAGTTCACAAGAAATCTCTTAACCTGGGCCTCAGTCTTCTCATCTGTCAAGTGGGAACAGTGTTCCAGACTCCCTGATTGGATTGCCCTGAGATTATAGACATGAGAAGACTTTAAAAAGTGCTGATAGGATGGTTTGTCTGGGCCACCCACTGGGGTAATGGGGCCTCTCTGATCTCTGCCCCATCTTCTTCTCTCAGGCAGCCCCTGGAATTTTGCCTTCACAGTCAAGTTCTACCCCCCTGACCCTGCCCAGCTGACGGAAGATATCACGAGGTGAGGGCTGTGGAGGGAGGGGCCAGGGTGCTGGCCGTGGGAGACACGGGGCGGTTGGTGATGGCAGCTGCAAACTCAGAGGCCTCCCTAGGCCAGGCAGACACCATCATAAAGGAAGCTGACCCGGTGCAAGAGAAAGTGATGCAGACACAACGGTCAGTGGTGGGTGGCCCTTGACCTCTGAGGGAGAGGGTGTGTCGCAGGAGTGGTGGGGACCAGTGTGAATCCAAGGGGACAGATGCCCTTTAAGGCAGTAGCTGTTGAGTTCCGGGCAATCACGGCCTTGTGGGAACTGGGCCCGATTTGAGAGTAAAATTCACAATTTTTAAACATTGGGAACTAATTCAGATTAAAAAAAAAAAGTGGTGTGGGCCATCTCTGGGTAGGACCAGCCACACACACCTGAAGATCCGACGTGCTGGGGCGACCGCAGTTTTCGACTTTGGGGATAGGGAGGGAATAGAGTGCAGACGCCTGTGCGCGCCGGAGGTTGGTCCCATTGCTGCCTGCACACATGGCAGGCATGTGGGGGCCAATGAAACGTGACCGCCCCGGGGAGCAAGCCTGGGCTGCTGGGGTGTACACGGCTTGCATGGGTAGTCTCATTGTGCCTCAGGGCCAGCAGACCACGTGGCTTGCAGATTGAAAGGGGGTGCAAAGCATCCTTCAGGGTGAGAGCTTCCATGAGGCTCATTCTGCCTCTGCAAACCAGAGCAGTGAGAGGCCTTTCTCTTTAAGCGCCTTCCAAAGAGAGTCTCATCCATGTGCTGGGCCCTACACACCCACCAACAGTAGGATGTGGGCTTGGAGTTATTCCTGCGGTGGGGGAGGGCTACAGAGCCAGCCCCTCCCTCCCGTCGGTCCCTCCTTAATAATGCTGGCTGCCTGCTTCCCAGGCAGTGGGCCAAGGTCAAGACGCTGACTTTGACCCTGAGAGATAAGATAGTTGTCCCTGGAATAGATCTGGCCTGAGGCCTTAGCCTCATTAGCCCTGAGGTCCGGCTTGGGGCCAAGGTTTAGCAAAAGTGTCTGAACTCCATTCCCAGGAGGGCTGAGCACTTTAGACCAGCTCAGCCCGCATTCCCCTGGTCTTGTCCACTGGTCCTTCTCTTCTTTGTGCTGGTTCCCGACTGGGTGTTGGGCTTCCAGTGACCCTAGGAGGGAAGTTAGCCTTGTCCAGCATGGATGATCCCAGGGAATGGGATGATTTAATAAATATTCGGGCCCAAAATAAACTGTTCAGAATGACAAATGGATTGAAATGAAATATTGATCAGAGTGCTTGGCAGTGATTTCTGAAATTTTAGACTTGAACAAAACGCCCATCTATCCACACTCGGTGCCTGTGACATTTGCGCTGCTGCTGCTGGTGCTGAGCCTGTGCCTTGGCCCTGAGCACACACTGAGGCTGCACATACTTTCTGTCAGAGCTCTAGTTCAGACTGCAAAATAACATCATGAGCAGTAAAACTTACGTTAAGTAAAAGCCACCTAAAAGAAAAAGAAACGGGCAATTGAAAAAATGGTGAAACATAGCAAAATGGGCAAGTAGGCATTGCTGGCAGAGACTGGACGGAAACATTTCTTTTAATACACAATAACTGAAAAAGCAATAAAAGAGGGTTCTAAAAATTGTAAAATCATCCAAGTGTGCGTAAAAGTTATAAAAAATCATGGCCTAGTGGTTGGAAATGTTTCTTTTAAACCAATTTATTTTTAGACAATTCACTTAGTGCTACAGGCAAAATAAAAATTGTTGGGAAAACATTGGCAAATGGGTCCATCCGGGGCCATGGATGCGCTGTGCAGAAGTTAAAATGAATGAAGTCATGTCCCATGTGCTGACCTGGAAAGGGCTCTAAGGCACATAGTTGGTTCTGCAAAAGTGAGCTGTATCAGATGTAGCATTTGATACCATGTACATGTTAAAAACACCCATGAATCAAAACCATATGCTCCTCTATACATCTAAGGAGGGAAAAGGTCGAGAATGCCACATATGACAGGGGTGGGTGACGTCTGGTGGAGGGGGATTCTGAGAATGGACATCAAGAGGAAGTTTAGGGTCACCTCTAAAGTTTACATTTTCCCACAATAAGAATACATTAATTGTATAAACAGGAATACGTGATATTTTCAGAAAGTGGTCAAAGTAGTCCTATTTAGCCTAAAATGAGTTAGGAATTGAAAATCCTCCCACAGTAGGAAAAATCCTTTACACTTAGGTGAACAGAAATGCTTAACGTCATATGAAATGATGCAAAACCATTTCACTGGACACACCCAAAATACCAGCACTCGAAATGCCAGTGTCGAGGATCATTCCTTTTCTCCTGGGCAGAGGGGTGATCAGCTTGGTTCTGATGGATCAGTGGGCATCTTGGGAGGGAGGGCCCGTGCCCATGCCCACTCTCCCCTATCTCCAGATACTACCTGTGCCTGCAGCTGCGGGCAGACATCATCACAGGCCGACTGCCTTGCTCCTTCGTCACGCATGCCCTGCTGGGCTCCTACGCCGTGCAGGCTGAGCTGGGCGACTACGACGCCGAGGAGCACGTGGGCAACTATGCCAGTGAGCTCCGCTTCGCCCCTAACCAGACCCGAGAACTGGAGGAGAGGGTCATGGAGCTGCACAGGACATACAGGTGAGGGGGCCTCTGCCCAGGGCCTTCCCCTGCTCCTAGAACCTTCCCCCCTAGGCCCCAGATGCAGTGCTGTAAGTACCCCACCTGGCTCGGCTGCTAATTTGAGGTGCAAATCTGAGGGCAAATCCTCTCATCAAATGGGAATGGTAGTAACTAGCTGTGTAACCTTAAATGACCTCTTGGGACCACAGGTTCTAAGCTCCTGTGATAATTCCCCATCCCTGGTTTCTGAGAATCGGTCTCTTTCTCTGCCAACTGGAGATAATAGTAACTGTTGTATGTCAGTGTTCTGATGCCTTGATCGTGGCATGAGGTTCAGAAGCTTGCACTCTGCAGCCAGACCACCTGGTTCGCCTTCTGGCTCTGCCACTTTCTGACAAGGGATCTCAGCCTTGCCATTTACTTCCCCCTGCTTTGGTTTCCTCATCTGTTCAGTGTGGGTGCTGATGAAACCTGCCTTAGAGGGTTGTTGGAGGGACTAAATGGGACATATTCAAGACCCACCGCATGCCAGCTATTATTGCTGCTCTCTCATTCAAGGGGTAGAGTAGTTGATTGTGCAAAGGAAGGCACCTTGTTGCAGAAGTTAGATGATTAACTAGATGTGTGGTTGTGGGCTGGCTGTTTAACCTATCAGCCTCATTTTTTACCTGTATTTGTACAGACTTAGATTATCCGTGTTTCTCAACTATTGGTCTTTGGAGCTTAGAATTCATTCTGGAGGATGTTTGGCATCCCCAGGCCCCAGTCATTAAGTGCTCATATTACCCCCTCAGTCATTGTAACAACCCATATGCCCCTCCCCATTTCAAAATGCCCACTGTGAGGGTGGTACCATCCCCTGGGGAAACCCCCGAAACTGAGTGGTCTCTAGGGTCCTCTGAAGCTGGAAGTGCTTTATGCCCCAAGGCCAGGGTTGTTATGGGAATCCAGTGTGGTAAACACTGTGAAAGTACATTGTAAACTGTAAAGTGCTGTGCCTGTGGGAGTGGGTGTGGCGATGCTGTCTCATTGCTAATAACTTGGAGGGAATGAGGAAGGTTGTGTCCTGGAGGCTGCACCCGGGGAGGAGGCCCAGGGCCAGATGCGGAGGGATCGGGTATGTGGGGAGGAAGGCCTGCTGGGTGGGATGGAATGCTGGGTCGGGAATGTGTCTCTCTGGGACTTGCACACCACTCTGGTTAGCGAAGGCTGCTGTTGTGTTGTGTTGAGTAGGGTACTGAAACCATATGACTGGTTAGCAGTGTCTTCCTAGTAGGGAGTGGTGGCCCGCCTGCCATCTCTTTGTCTTTCCTGTAGGATGTGTTAGGGATTTGCAAGGTATACAGGCATACCTTGTTTGATTGCACTCCCAGAGACTGCGTTTTTTATATACTGCGTTTTAATTGAAGGTAAGACCTCCACCAGCAAAAAGATTATGAGTTGCTAAAGGCTCAGAAAACAGTATTTTATTTTTTATTTTTTATTTTTAGCAATACAGCATTGTTAAATTAAGCTATGTCCATTTTTTTATACACAGTACTGTTGAACACTTAATAGACACAGTGTAGTGTAAACATACTGGGAAACCAAAAACTTTGTGTGACTCACTTTACTGTAATGTTCGTTTCATTCTGGTGGCCTGGAAGGAACCTGCAACGTCTTCGAGGTCTGTCTGTGATTCCGAGGAAGGAGTTTAGGTCGATATGGGCCAGAGAAATGCTAATGGCCACCCCTTTACAGCTCTTTTGACTTGGAGCACATTGGCATCTAGTGTCCAGATATCCCTCCCACACAGTACTCTCTCTGAGGTGGGCAGAGCAGAGGACACGGAGCCCAGAGGATATGAGACAGATGTTAAGTACAGTGGTTAGGAACACAAACTCTGGAGCCACACTGTTGGGATTCAAATCCTGACTTTGCTACTTAATAGCTTGTGTCCTTAGGCAAGTTTTTCAACCTCTCTGTGCTGCAGCTTCCTCATCTGTAAAACGGAAATAGTGATAATACCTACTTTGTAGAATTGTTTTGAGGATTCAGTTCAGACGTGTAAAGTACTTGGAATTGTAACCATACGTAGTCCTCAATAAATGTTAGCTGTGACTGAGTGTAAAATGTATGGTTTCCTGGCAGTCGGAGCAGAGACGGAACTTGTATCGCATACTTCTTTCCAGAAAGGAGAATGGATACCTGTTCCTCAGGGGAGGTTAGGTGGTCTCTGATATCATGTTCTAAGATAAACATCTCATGTGGGCAGTAATTTAGGAGCCCCTGGGTAACTAACGGACAGCCTTCCACAACGGCTTCACAGTCATGGAGAAGCAGGATTCTTAACTCAGTGGCAGAATGAGGCAAAATTCCTGAGTCCCAGCCCAGCCCTTGAATGCGTCCTGGTGGAAACAAAATTGGACTTGAGCTTTGGCAGGAGACGAGGGTCGGGTAGACTGAAGAGGGTCTGGGGTGCACCATCCTGCACTGAGAGCAGAGGGGCAGGCCCAGCTACACACCCACTCCAGGATGTTTGCCTTCCCAGAATCACAGGTTCTGACTGTGGTCACCTTCAGGCAGTAGGACTCAGGCCTGGGCCTTTCCCGTGGCCATCTGTGATCATTTTGTTTCCCTTAGGGGCATGACCCCAGGAGAAGCCGAAATCCACTTCCTAGAGAACGCCAAGAAGCTGTCCATGTACGGAGTAGACCTGCACCATGCCAAGGTACCACTGAGTCCCAGGGCGCCCTAGCATCTGGGGGTGTCCCCAGTGAACTACTGTGTTCTTCTGGAGGGCTTGGTGTGCCAGCCCCTGTGTTCCTGCTCACCCGAGGCCTTTTCTATCCTCAATTCTCATTCCTTGAAGTTCCATAACCCTTTGTTTTCCCACGATCTGTATCATTTTCTTCTTGTATTATATGTATTTTTGAACCTGTTTGTGCCGCCACTAGATTGGGAGCATCATGGGGGAAAGATAGGGCCTTAATTTATTCTGTATCCTTAGCATGTAGCACATGGCCTGGCTCTGAATATGTACCAGTAACTGTTTGCTGAATGAATACGTGATTAACAGAGAAGATGGTAGAACAAGTGACTGGGTGAATGAGCGACACAGTGAAAGAGCGAATGGCTGGATGACTGCGTGAGGGGTTGGTCAGGAGCCCCCGACATGGAGGCTCTAAGTCCACCTGCTCCTTAGGGCTCATTTATAAGAGAGCTCAGGGAGGGCCGTGGGGTCCGTGGCCGGCTGCTCCATGGTCCCTTCTCACACAGGACTCTGAGGGCATTGACATTATGTTAGGCGTCTGTGCCAACGGCCTGCTCATCTACCGGGACCGGCTGAGGATCAACCGCTTCGCTTGGCCCAAGATTCTCAAGATCTCCTACAAGAGAAGCAACTTCTACATCAAGATCCGGCCTGGGGAGGTGAGCCTGCTTGGGAACCCCTCCTCCTCGCCGCATTGACTAGGACAGAGAGGATCCTAGTAGCTGGGCCTGGAGTTTTTACTACTCAGGATACATGGATGGGGGTGCTGGGTGCTGGGTACAAGAGATCCATCTTCTGCTGGGGCTCTTTTCAAAGACACCTTAGGTATGTGCCTGCACACACGTGCGCGTGCACACACACAGGAGCACATGCATGAGACACGTGTAAAGATAACCACATATATTCAGTATACATAGATCAATGAATACATGTCCTGTATCTGCTACATGTAATACTCAAGTAGCACACATACTAAGACATACTAAGATACACATAGACATACGACTACACACACACACAAACATGTATATGTCCAGCCTCCACAGCTCACCCATCAGAGGGTCTTTTTGGTTCTGCCTGTAGAGTAAATGCGAACCCATCTGCTTCTGTCCTCTCCACTGCACCAAATGCCAACAGCCATCATCTCTCATCATCTCTCATCTCTGTCTCCACAATGTCTTCCTCACTGGTTCCCCTGCCCTCATTTTCATTCCACGCCATTTTCCTCATAGCTGCTAAAGAGACCTTAAAAGTCTCCTCCATCATATCATGTCAGACTCACCCCCCTACTCCCACTCTTTGCTCAAATATTTTAAGAGCTGTCTTTAGCTTTTGGCTAAAGTCCAAACACTGTCCCTGACCCCCTGTCTCTCCCACATACCTCTGCCTCACTGCCCCATGCCCACTGAACTCCAGCCCATTTGGTCTCTGAAATCCTTGAATAAGCAAGCTCTTCCCATCATGAGCCCTTTGCTTCTGATCTCTCCTCTACCAGAAATTCTGTTCCTTCCCCATCCTTCAGATCTCTGTTCAAAGATCACCCGTTTAGACTGTGCATTTCCTGATCACCTTTTCTAAAATAGTACCCAACCCTGCGTCTACACAGGTATTCTGTCATGTCACACGTCTCTGTCCACTCCCTTCATGACCTCATCAGTTTCTGAAATGATCTCATTTATGTATTTATGATCAAAGTTCCCTCCTCCCCGAACCTTGTGTCTTGACCGCCTTGGTGTCCCTGTTGCTTTGCACTGGACTTGTCACAGAGTAAGGGCTCAGTCCACCTGACTGAGTGAATGAATAAATGAAAGAACAGGCCAGAGCCACACATGCTGAGAAGAGCCTTAAAAGGATGGACTGGTGGCGAGGGGGGCCCAGGTCTTACTTCTTACCCACCCCCCTTGGTTTTGCAGTATGAGCAGTTTGAGAGCACAATTGGCTTTAAGCTCCCGAACCACCGGTCGGCCAAGAGACTGTGGAAGGTCTGCATTGAGCACCACACCTTCTTCCGGTGAGCCAGGCCCTGGGGTGGGGTAACGGGGGACGACACAAAGGCTGTGAGTGTCTGTGTGGGTGATGTCTGTGTTTTGTAAGGGCAGAGCAGGAGGAGAAGCTAGGAAGGACCATAGGAAAGAACCCCCTCCTCTTTCCCCAAGTCTCTCCTCTCCTGGACCACTTAGAGTTGTAGCTGGTGGGACAGTGGGATGAAAGGCCGGCTGTGGTCCAGCCTTGGGCCTGGCAATGCAGTTGTGATTCCCCCTCCTCACCTCCATTGCAGGCTGGTGTCCCCCGAGCCCCCACCCAAGGGCTTCCTGGTGATGGGCTCCAAGTTCCGGTATAGTGGGAGAACCCAGGCACAGACCCGCCAGGCCAGCGCCCTCATTGACCGGCCCGCACCCTTCTTCGAGCGTTCCTCCAGCAAACGGTACACCATGTCCCGCAGCCTTGATGGAGGTATGCCCTAATTGGAGGTGGGGTGAAGAGTGGTGTTTAGAGGGAAGGGGTGGGCATGCCAGGTGCAGAATGAGCAGTGAAGGTGGTCAACACATCGCAGGTTGACTTGCTCCAGGCATGGTGGCCCAGGAGCACTGGTGCACCTGGGCAGCTCTCAGTGGATTAGTCTCAACCTATGGCCTCACTATTGCTGACATTGCCACTCCTGGACTTCCTGTGACTTCTCTGAGCCTTTTGGGGTCCCAGGTTTAGCCATATGGTTTTCTGGGCCCCTTGTCCAAGATGCTTAGTAATTCACAGATTGTCATCATATCAGGAGAATGCTATATTATGACTGCACTGTGGAGTTGGTCATGCCTTCCCTGACTAGAGGCATAGGGGTTGTTTCCAGTCATTCTCTTGGTTCCATTGAACTGACTGACATCTAACCACATGGCATTCCCCATTGGGCTGACAGGCACCCTTAATATCAACAAGAACTGGCCCTACCTTGTCCTCTATCAAGCAGACCAGGGCTTCTCAAAATGTGGTCTGTAGACTGTCTCTATCAGAATCACCTGTGAGTTTGCCAGACATGCAGATTCCCAGGCCCTGGCCCCAGCTTACTAAATTGGCACTCGTCAGGACCCTGGACTCCCCCCAATATGCACACTGGAGTTTGTAGGAGAGATTCAGAAGCCACATGGGGCACTGGGGAGAGTCAGAGTTTGGCAGATCTGAATTCAAATCTCAGCCTTGACACTCACCAGCTTATGGCCCATAAATATCTGGATGGGAGGCCTTGAGCAACTTACTCCTTGTGCGTATTTCCTCTTCTACAAAATAAAGAATACCTACTTCACTATGTTATAATGCCTCTACAATACCCCAAGCAATTCTTGGCACATAGTAGGGTCTTAATAAATAATATCCAATAATAAATTATTGTTTATTGTAGCAGTAATAAATTATTTTTGCTTTTAGGTGTATAGAAGATGGTTTAAAGGTAGGAGGTGGGAACATGAGTGGGATGAACAGTAGATACTTCCAGAACACACGGGACAGGCCTCTAGGCAAGTTAGTTGCACTCAGCAAATATTTTCTAAGTGTTAGAATAAATATGGCCCTTTCCTTTGAGGAGCTCCTAGAATAGTAGGTTTATAAGCATTCAACCTGATTCAGGCAATGGGAGAAATATGTACAGAATACAGAGAGCAGCCTTGAGGAGAGAGGGACTAATTCTTTCTGGGAGGAGCAGAAAAAGGGCTTGTAGAGCGGGTGACAACTGGGCAGGGTTTTGAAGGATACCTAGGAGTTTTCCAGGTGATCAGGGGAGTCTGATACTTTTCCTGCAGTATGAAGGTGAGACCTATCCCAGGACTTCCTGGCCGTTTTCGAAGGACACGCAGTTTTGCAAGTGTCCATTTGGGGCTGAAGAAGCTCCTTAGTCTTCTTGAATGGGCTCAGGGCTGCTGAGAGCTGAGATTTTTGCAAAAAGAAAGGAGGGCCTGCACTGTCTCTCTGTGCTCTCCTGCAGCTTTCAGTACTATGCCAGGGGCGAAATGAAGCCCAGATTGTGCAAGGCAGCAAAGATTGGCCCAGATCTGGTGAGGCTCATCAGGAGGGCCCGAAGCCTGGATTCTAAGCCAGTAGGCCTGGGTTCTTCTCCAGACTCACTGAAAGGTCTCAGGGACTCTGTACAGTGAGGAACATAATTCCAATTCTAGCCATCAGCACAGAGCATTGTGTGGCTCAAACGAAATAATGTGCATGAACAGGCACTTTGCAGAGCAAATATATATGAATGGAAAGGATGGTAACTTTCTTTTTTAATCCAGGCCAATCCCAGGATGAGCTGTGCTCTGGTCATTCCCTGTTTTCTAGCCATTTTCCGCCCCCCCCCCCCCCC